TGTACGGAAGCAAAAGCTCATCGTTGAACTGCCAGTAGGTGACACTCATCTTACATGCTGAAGCCCGCAATATCACAGCTACGGCGACAAATCTCCCCCATCAGCAGAAATATGTCAAAGGCAGCGTATCACACAGAGATTCTGAAGGTTGATCCAGCGTCGATAGCTTTCACAGGCGACTCGCTGTCGATCTCAGACCCACAGACCGAGACCTCACTAAAGAGGGCCGCAACCATCATCTCCTCCTCTTCTGAGGTTGTTGCCTTCCCCACAGAGACGGTATATGGGCTAGGAGGCAATGCGTTTGATGATGATTCTGTTAGGAACATATACCGGGCGAAGAACCGGCCAGCAGATAACCCGTTGATCTCCCACATATCCTCGGTCTCTCAGGTTAAGCAGTTCTTTGGCATAGACCTTCCAAAGATATACGAACCCCTGGTGGAGAGCTTTTGGCCCGGGCCTCTTACCATTCTGCTGCCGATTACTACAGATTCAAAGCTCTCCAAATTGACAACCGCAGGACAAGATACCGTTGCTGTGAGACTGCCTTCGCATCCAGTTGCACGGGCCTTGATTCATTTGTCAAACGTCCCCATCGCAGCTCCTTCAGCTAATGCATCCACAAGACCTTCTCCTACTTTGGCAGAACACGTGTATCATGACTTGAATGGTAAAATACCCTTGATACTCGATGGAGGGTCTGCCAGGGTTGGCGTGGAGTCCACAGTGGTTGATGGAATCAGCAACCCACCTATGCTGTTGAGACCTGGAGGTGTCAGTTTAGAGCAGATCAAATCAGTCGGAGGCGATGCCTGGAAGGATGTTAGAGTCGCCAAGAGGGTGGCTGATGCTAACGAACCCGTGAAGACCCCAGGGATGAAGTACAAGCACTATTCACCAACTGCAAGAGTTATCTTGGTTGAGAAAGAGGAAGCCATGTTGAATTACATTGCGTCACATGACCTGTCACGTGATAAGATTGCACTTCTTACTACACAGAGCTTCACAGGATCACAATTCCCGGGGATTGTTGAATCTATGGGCTCGAGCAAAGAAGAGGTCTCCCGTAACCTCTTCAAGTGTCTCAGGGATATGGATGAAAGACGAGTCGATTATATTTTCGTTGAAGCTGTTGATGAAACAGATCAAGGATTGGCGATTATGAACAGGCTCAAGAAGGCAGCCTCTGAAACCATATGAAGCAAACTAATGAGTCTACGCCAGTAGTTAAGACATATCGTATTATTCTTTTCAGCCAAAGCCAATGCATCAAGGAGCCATTGTGCTTTGGCAACCAAGCCCAACATGCGAGAAATAGTGTTCCCATTAATATATAATAATAGTAGTAATAGTTGTATCTTTCATGTTTCCATGTTTGACGGCCTTTCGTCCTCTCCACTTTATCTATGTGACTTATTATACGATGGAGTTGAAAGTAGTACGTTGTTGTTGCTTTGTGAAGTATTTTCTGCATTCGTCAAAGATGAAGACAGAACTTGAAACAACGCTTAAGAATACCAGGTCCCCTAGTGATAAAGCCTCAGTCTGGAAGATGCTTTGGAAGAATGGAACGTATATGGCACACAGCTGTCCAGCGAGAGACCCCAAGACGGCAAAGTTGAACATCTGGTTGCTGAATCCAATCTCAAACACAGATTTGGTTGCATGACGGCAACTCAAAGCGTTGAACATATCAAAGAGAACAAAACATGTAAACGTCATGGTGGTGTCTCTATGTGTGATTTGGTTGTCCTCCATCTCTCTGACGTAAACGAAAATGGTTCCAGCAATGACAAACAGAGCATTCATTAACAATCTTCTCAAGACAGCCTCGGTGAGAATCTTTGCACCTCTTTGTCTAGGTGGCTTGTTCATCACTTCGCTGTCAACAGGTTCAACACCGAGCGATTGAGCAGGAGGACCATCCATCAAGATGTTAATCCAAAGAATCTGCATGGCATTTAGAGGATTCGGTAACTTCAAGAACGTGGCAAACGCGATCAAGGAAAGAGCAGCGACAGAGGTGGACAATTGGAACGTTAGGAAGTTTTGAATGTTGTTGAAGATACCCTTTCCTTCTTCAATAGCACTAAGAATAGTAGAGAAGTCATCATCAGTTAAAACCATATCAGCAGCTTCCTTGGCAACGTCTGTACCCATTTTACCCATGGCAATACCGATATCAGCCAGTTTTAAGGCAGGTGCATCGTTGACACCATCACCAGTCATAGCAACAACATCACCACGTCTTTGCAAAGCACGAACGATCTGAACCTTGTGTTCTGGTGTTGTTCTAGCAAACACACAGACAGATGAGATGACCTCTGCCAAGCTTGCTTCATCCATCTCATCAAGCTTATCACCACTGATGACGTTTCTACTGACGTCTGTAATTGGCATACCGATTTCTCTGGCAATTTCAACAGCAGTCGCCTCAGCATCACCGGTGATCATAATGACATGGACACCACCTTTCATTAACTTGGCAATTGCCCCTTTAACGGTTGGTCTTGGTGGATCCTTCATACCAATCAATCCGACAAAGGTGAGACCAGAAGGTTCATCGTCGAAATCCTTGTTGTTATATCCAAACGCGAGAACACGAAGACCATGGGAGGCCATCTTGTCTGCAGCAGTTAAGATCTTCTTGCTAGTCGATTCATTAAGCGTCTCGGTTTTACCATCACGGGTCAAATAGCTTGTTGATCTTGCCAAAACTTTCTCCACAGCACCCTTCACATAGGTTGAAGACTTGGATTTATCACCCAAGTGGACAGTAACAGCCATGTACTTTTTGGTCGATGAGAATGGAACTTCCTTAGTTCTCGACCTTGATGATCTCATATCCTCCATCTTGAACTCTGGCAAGACTTCCAACAGGGCAATATCGGTTGGATTGCCGATAAATTTAGCACCTTCTTGTGAATATTTGGCATTGTTACAGATGCTAGCAGCCTCCAAGGTCTGTTTAACATCGTCAGTCAGGTATTGCGTCAGGGTGGAATGCGTATGCTTGGAGATGTCCAATACTTCAGTGTTCATATCAGTGGTCCACAGGTGCTTAACAGTCATATGGTTTTGGGTCAAAGTACCTGTTTTATCACTACAGATCACGTTGACCGAGCCCAGAGTCTCCACGCTTGGAAGTCTTCTAACGATTGCCTTTTGACGGGCCATTCTAAGCACACCCAGGGCCAACGTGACCGTGACGATGATGGGCAAGCCTTCTGGAATGGCAGCGACTGCTAACGATACAGAGACTTGGAACATTTCTAACCACGAGCGTCCTTGGAAGACGCCGATGATACAGATGAATCCAATCACGGCGAAACTCACAACGGACAAGTCCTTACCCAGCTTATCCATGGAGTTCTGCAGTGGAGTCTTTGGCTTCTCAATGTCACTCATCATCTCAAAGACAGCACCAAAGGCCGTGTCATGGCCCGTGGCAACCACCAACCCTGTTCCGTGGCCATCACGAACCAAAGTGCCCATATACGCGATGCAGTGACGCTCATTCAACGGGATGCCCAGCCCTTGAGGCTCAACCGCCTCTGTCAACTTGTGCACGGGCTCAGTCTCACCAGTCAGGTTCGACTCGTCAACAGTCAGGTGGACCGCTTCCACCAATCTGATATCAGCAGGGATGCGGTCTCCCACGGAGAAGTGAACCAAATCGCCTGGCACCAGCTGCGACGCCAGGATGTTCTGCGTGGAGCCGTTTCTGATGAGGTGGGCCTCCGCAGGCACCAGCTTGTTCAACGCCTGTAACGACTGCTCGGACCTGTACTCCTGGACAAAGCCCACAGAGACAACAATGAAGATGGCCAGCGTGATGGAGACGGAGTCGTCAATATTGCCCATGAGGAAGCTGATCACTGCTGAACCGATGAGCAGCAGAATCAGCGGGTCCTGGTAGAACGTCTCGAGGAATTTCCACAGCAGACTCTCCTCCTCCTCAGCACTCAGCTCGTTCATCCCGTGCAACCCTCTACGCTGTGTAACATCCTGCGATGAGCACAGCCCATTCACTGGATCCGTCCTCAACTGTGCCACGGTTTCCTCTATGCTCTTCGTACAGAACTCATACGAAGGGGAATTGTCATGATGAGGCGAGACGCTTCTCTTCTGAAGCTCGACGGTGTCGAATGGATTATCAGACATCCTCCACGAATCTGTCGTCTAGTTCTTGTCCTCAAGCCGCCGTTGTAGGAACGCTGTTTGTTGACCTGTGAGGTCGTTAACCGTAGCGCAAATTGTCGTGAAACGGGTCTTCGTGGTGTCCGGGTGTGTGTGTGTGCGGTGCGCGCGACGGGGCCGTGGAAAGATGCCGAAAAAGGCACAAACCGCACGCGCAACACGGCCAGAAACAACGAAAAAGGCGACAACTGCGCCAAAATTGCAGCGCACGGGGAATAATTGCGGTGTTGCGTAGTGCCTGGGATGGGAAGGGACGGTCTGCTGCTTTGAGGACGCTGTATTCGCCAATGGGCAGAAACGTCATGGCAGAGTGTTTACCATGGATCTACGACCAGGTGCATGGCGTTGTCATTGTGTAAAGACACACGAGGGAAGCTTCGATTGGTGTTTCGCTGTCTGGGCCTGCAAAATGTGCTATGAAAGATCTCTTAGGGCGTTTTCTGTGATTCACTTTCTGCGGGTGTGTGCCAGTCGCGTTTTTCGTCTTTTTTCGTTGCTTTTTTCGTTATTTTTTTCGTTTTTGTTTCCTCTTTTTCGCTTCGGCAGGCCCGATTTCGTTTATGGCAAGCGCAATTCCACGGGTTCATGCCCCTATTTCTCCCCCCACCGTGGCATACAATGACCAGAGGAAAGAGACAGTGTGCAAGACAGGGTGCTGTGTCGGTAAATGCGACAAGTCCGATGCGGTTGGCGGTGCTGTGCAACTTGCAGTGTTGGCCTCCAGTAAAGCCTGTGGGCTTTGGATCTTACAGTGGTGTAGTGGTGTAGTGGTGTAGCACTGTGGAGTCACGTGCAAGTCACGTGATACCACGACCGCATAGCTTTACCGCATTGGGTATAAATACACGGCATCCTCGGTAATGGCATTCACAGCTCACCAGCAACGCCATACACGACGACAGCACGGTTCGTATCGCCTCAATGCTACAAGGACCCCCTATCTAAACATCTAGTGTACATTCCACGTGATTGGTTTCCCCTTTTGGTGATTCTCGATCGTGTATATAGAACAACGGTTTAACCCCATTGTTATGCAATTAGGCTCCATAGCACTGTTACCTCACTTGGGTTGAACGTTATAACGCATACGGATACCCATTGCTGCGAGCTCAGAGTCCAGGTACTTGAGGACAAATGGTATAGCAACCGTGGTGGTATCGTTACCTCCGATAAACTTGTTACCCTGTCCATCTTCCCAAATATCAGACTCATCAACATAGCTGGAAGAATGTTCGAACTTTGCCGAACAGTTACGACAACGGATGGTGGCTGCAGAGCCAATTCTAGGAACAGAGGTTTGCGTGGAGAGCAGGGATCCACAGCCACGACAGATGGATGTTTGCGTGTAATCAGAACAGTTCAGAAGACGGTCCTGTAATAAGAAAGCGGTACCATGACCAATGAGGGCATCACGCTCCATCTCACCAACACGGATACCACCAGATCTCTTACGACCCTTAACAGGTTGCATCGTGAGCGAGTTGACAGGACCAGTGGAACGAACCTGGAACTTATCGTTCACCATGTGACGCAATCTTTGGTAGTAGACAACACCAATGTAGATATCGCATCTCAGCTCCTCACCAGTAGCACCAGAGTACATAGGTTCATTACCATGGTAGTTGTAACCAGCTTTACGCAATTGCTCACCGAAATAATCCGCTGGTGTATCGTTTTCACTGAACTTCCATGGTGTAGAATCGTGTGCAATACCATGAAGGGCACCAGATTTACCTGCAAGCGATTCAACAAACATACCAATGGTCATACGAGATGGGAAGGCGTGAGGGTTGATAATGACATCAGGTTGAATACCGGTCTCAGAGAATGGCATATCAACCTGTGGCCATTTTCTAGAACAAACACCTTTCTGTCCGTGTCTCGAGGAGAACTTATCACCAATCAATGGCGCACGAGTGATTCTGTACTTGATGGTCAACTGTTGGAACTCTTGATCATTACCCTCATCACCAAGGAGTTTAACCTCCTCGATGTATGCACCTTCGGAAGAGTGGTACGTCTTAACCTTGGTCTTACCAATGGTTTCATCGTAGAAAGCGACAATTGGATCACCCTCCTCAACCCTACTACCAATCATTGGCAAACCATCGGTATCCAAGATCTTTCTCCACTCCTTTGGCCACTCATCAGCACCGAAACCGATGTGCTGGGTGATAGGATCACCACGACGTCTGGATTGGCCGAGATCAACCTTTTCAACCTTGTACACTGTACCATAACCGAAACCTCTCTCATCAGCAGACTTGTTAATAATCATCGCATCATCCATATCGTAACCGGTATAAGAGATGACAGCAACAACAGCGTTGGTACCGTTAGGGAAGTTATCCATACCGTACTCGTCGTACAGGTTAGCCTTGACAATAGGGGTTTGACCAGACTGCAATCTGTATAACTTGTTGTCAGATCTGTGCACGAGAGCAACACCAGGGGTACCCATGGTTTGTTTACCCATTTGACATTGGTACATGTTTCTTGGAGATTGATTGAAATCAGAGAATGGTGTCAAGTTAGCCAAGATGGACAGAATGTTTGTAGGGGTGAATTCAACATGCGAATGGACGTTATTTTCAATTTCTTCAGGTGTAACAGCAATGTTCATGTAAACTTGCTCGAAAGGACCGACAATGTCCTCTTTATCCAATGGTAGGTAACGAACAGGACGCATCATTCTGGAACGGCCACCAAAGATGAACAATCCTGGATACTGACCTTTACTTGATGGAGGAACGTAACCAATCTCCAAATCCAAAGGCAAGTTGTGGGTTCCTTCCACCTTCCAGAACCTGAGGGTATCAGCGATAACCTTTGATTGTTGGTGGGTGGTCCAGCCGACAATCTTACCGTCGAGTTGTACACAGCAGACGTCTGGACCAGCTGCGAACGTATGAGCTGGTGACACACCAAGTGCTGAGAGAGCATCTGGGACACCTGAGACGTCCGACTCTTCAGTTGAGATAGCACACTTGTGGGCAAAATGGTTTAGCAAACCACATGGAGAACCATCCGGAGTATGGACAGGACAGAGGAAACCCCATGACTCTGGAAGCAATTTTCTCACAGTGGTGGTCTTCAACTGTGCAAAGAAAGAACCTCTATGGACCATTCTGAAATGCGAGATGAAACGGTAGAAGTTGATCTTTTCAGCAACGACGGTATAACCAGACACTTGTTGTAAATCCAAACCGGATTGTGAGACCAAGTTACCCGTGGATAAAAAGTATTGCAACTTCTGACCAATGTTTTCGTTGATTCTTGAGAACACCCTGGTGATGTACTTTCTATCGTTGAAGTTCACTGCAGTTCCACGGTTCAAGTCAGATTGGACCTGGAGTTTGAAGTTGTTGAGGTACTCTTCAATCTTCTCCTTGATGATCATACCGTACAGGAAACCTCCGAGAAGGACTTCTTGATGTTGTGTGGCATCTGGGTTGTCTGGTGCACAGTCACCAGCGACGAGTGTGTAAAGCTTTCTAATCATGAAGAGGAGCATTCTGAACTTGTCTCTGTTGTCTTTCAAGTGGACAAGCACAATTCTCTGCAACACTTCTTTACCAACATCGACATCTGACACATCAGGAGTTGCACCAAAGACAACTCTGAACTTATCACCCAGGTACGCCAGAGTTTGTCTGTTAGAGCTCAAGCCATAGGACTTGTAAGATCTCAAAAGCAATTCCAAACGATCCGTTAAGAACGAGTTTTCAATGTCAGAACCAACGATACCGTCAAAGATCTCACGGTCGTTAGTCTCGATGAGGGCCTTCAAGATCATAACGACAGGAACAAGATATTCGTTCTTCCTCCATGAGAATCTGAACGTCACAGTACCATCGTTCAAGTAGTGCAAGACGTTTGTCTGAGAAGTTTGGTCTGGTCTCACACATCTGATTTGGATACCAAATTGAGAGTAAGCCGCACCTCTGTTCGTGAAGGAAGGACGGATGATAGCCATTGGATGGTTACGACGTTGCACGATAAGCATACGGATAAGCTTCTCAATACCGTTCACGATGAAATAGCCACCCAATTCATCAGACTCTTCCTTGCGGTTGACGAGTTGATCCGGCGAGAGGTTCTCCAAGTGACATCTGTTGGTCTTGAGCATGATTGGCACCTGCCCAGCGTCTCTGATCTCACTGATTTCTTCACCGTCATTGACAGACCAGGACACCTTCAGCAGCAACTTACCTCTGTAACTGATCATTCTCTCCCTCGCCTCTGATGGCCAGATCTTCTTGTCGATGCTGAGCTTGTCATTAGGAGGAACTTGAGGCTTTGCAAGCTGGACAGACTCCACCCTGATTCTCAGCTTGTTGCCCAATCTCTCTGTATCGTTCGAGTCGAAGATGGTCTTGTAACCGATATCCTTGACTCCCAGGTTTAGCAGCCCACCGCCGGTGCCCTCAGTCAGCGCATTGAAAGAACCAACATGAGGTCTCACCGCTTCCTCCAAAAGAGGGAACGCGCTCTTGTCCTTTGGCGGGTTCTGGAAACGTCTTTCACGCTCCAACGTCTTGAAGTCCGCAGTTCTGTATTGAACACCCATAGCGTCGTCGACCAAGCTTGTGAACTGGATTGAACTGAGCTGATTGGAAGGTAAATGGATTCAAAACATAGAAACAAATAGAATCCTGGCGCATAGAAAATTTTTTTAATCCGGTCGATATTACGTAAGCAG